AATCTTAATTGTCAATCAAGGAAAGCCATCCCTCTAAGAAAAGTAACCACCCACAGCAAATAGTGATCAAAACCCAAAAGGCTTTGTCACCAGGCCTTTTGAGCCCCGCTTCTCTTGCTCAGGCCTGCTTCCACATCTGGAAGTGTACTTTCCCTTCTAATAAAGCTTTTCTTTTCTGCTGTATTTTGATATATTGCTCAATTTTTTGTTTGAGACATCAAGAACCTGGACAACGCACCGGAGAGGATCCCCACTCTCCGGTAACAACAGGACAGATAGGAGATGAGTTAGGAGAGTTCAGTGGAGTTGCTACTGTGACTCCTCCTCCTTCCCACTACAGTTCCCGCTGGAGATGGGAAGGAAGGAGGAAATGGCTAAGGGGCAAGGTCGGGGAGTAAGTCTGGGCAAGCTTCCGCAGCCCACTGCTTCCCCAGTTGCGAGCTCCCAGCAAAAATGAAAGCAAGGGGTTGAGAGGAAGAAACAGAGGATTCCCACGGGGGCTTACCCATCCTGCTGTGTCCAAAAGGTGCTACTCAGTCTTTTAATTTGGAGTTTGGACAGGGTCCCTCAGCAGGTCTTCCCTGCAATTGAGATGGTGACCAAGTCAGGAAAGTTAGAGGAAGAAAAGTAGAGAAAATACGCAAGACTAGTGGACTCCTGATCGATTAGAGAACAAGTCTCTCACCAGCCCCTTAGAAACGACGTCAACCATTTGCCCAAGGCTAATTAATCTGCACGGCCTAGGGAAATGAATCCCAACCACTTTCAGATGAGAGGAGCCATGGTGAGCTTGGGTGAGACGAGTTTATGTCCTTCGGTCCCTTCGTGGTCAGCCAGAAAAGATGATGCAGGACAGAGCAAATTTCCCCAAGGGATGGGGAGACCAAGCGCTACACTGAGAGAAGAGGGTCCTTTGGCAGAGAGTGAAGAAAGAATTCAACACATATGCCAAAGTTAGAGTCAAAAGGAAAGTTTATTTAAAAAAAGGGGTAACACTCCACAGACAGAGTGTGGTCTTGTCTCAGAGACAAAGAGTGAGAGGGACCAAGAGAGGCTTGGAAAGATAACGAGTAGAGGCAGGGATTTTGTTTTTTAATGCTTTTGTTTTTGTTTTTGTTTTCCAGATGGCTTGATGTTGTGTATAAACAGCCTAACTGTTCTATTATACTGTGAAATTCGTTAAAGAAAAAAATTGTATATTATCACTGAACTGTCTACAGATGCCGCTATATCTGAATATAGAATGCTAGGTTTGATTCTATCCTGATGAAAAGGTTATCAATAAACCTGAGTCCTAGGATTTTGCTTCCATCACCATCATCATCATTATCATCATCATCATCGTCGTCATCATCACCATCATGCTGTTTCTTGCCCATTTTTACACCCCTCTTTCCTATTCCATTCTCTGTCCTTCTCTACATCCCAGGAGACTGATTCCTACAGACTCCACCTCCCAGGCTCCCTTCTTGTTTGTGTCCTGTTTGATTTAGTCGATGGGAAATATAGGCTGGAGATCAGAGCATGGGGTATTTCTTCCCTACTCCCTCCCTGCTTTACCTGATTTATAGCCCTTCAACCACAGCTTCCATCAAGTAGCTCCTGCTTCAAGAATCCAGCTCTCAATGGGCTTTATTATACAATGTTCTCTCTTTGCCCCTTCAGGACTAGGGGTGGTAAGTATCTCACTCTCATAAACCTCTGGGTGCCTCAACATCCATGTTTAGTTTCCCTGTCCATGGAGTAAAGCTTTCATGGATGTCTCTGGTGCCATCTGAGTTATAGTCTGTGTGCTGCCAAGACCCTGATGGCAGTCATCTTTAACATCATCTTCTCTATGACCACTATGTACTGATTGCTCTCACGTATTATACACTGCTTAGTGCTTCACCAACGTTAATTCATCTAGCCTTCACAATAACTTCATGAGGAAAGTATTATTTTATAGATGAGAAAGTTGACTTAGCAGTTTTTAAAGATTTTATCTCAGGTAACACAACTAGTAAATGGCAGAGTCAAAATTCAAATTCAGATCTTTCTACTTTAAAGATTGTTGTTGTTGTTGTTGTTGTTGTTTTTACTACTACCCTTAGTCAGAATCATCTGGAATGTTTGTTACAAATCCAGATTCTGGGAAACCTACCCAGAACCCTCTGCTGAGGAAACCAGCTCTAGATTTTAACTTGAGTGGCGAAGTTAGCCCAGAGTCAGCACCTGAGCCAAGGGAGTTAGTTGTATAGGCTAACTGACAACCTATGGGGTGGACAGGCATTAAAACTCTGACCAATATGGGCAACAGTAATTAGTGAAGCCAATGACGCTCTCTCTCCCTCCCAAATTTAAATGAAACATGCTAAAGAAATTAGTCAGGAGGTAGAAGGAGGAGAGAAAAAAAAACATAAAGAGAAGCAAGCAATAAGAGAGTAACATGGCCATATGGTGGAAGAGTGACCAGTGATGCAGTAAGAGCATGTCCCTGGAGCCAACTTGAAGCCTGAACAATGGCTATTCTTAGCTTCTCTTGAGATCTATCTCCTCTCACTCATCAACCTACCAGTGATCTCAGTAATCACTGGTCATGTCCTCCCTGACCCAGACTAATTTGACTGAGCTGACACTTCCTCTAGCTTTTATAGAAAGAGCTCTAAGCTAACACAAGTGAAACAGCCTTTCTATCGGTCTTCCTGCATTTTCTCTGTTTGCCTCTCTAAACCATTATTCACACTGAAGCTGGAGGATTTTTCCAAAATATAAATCTAACTTTATTAACTGCCTTGCTTAAAACTCAAAAATTATTTTCCATTATTTCGACATGCTGTGGCCCACAAGTTCCTGTGTGGTCTAGCCACCACACCTCCTCTTCATCTTCAACTAAAGCCTCTCTCCCTCTCCCCTTTCTTGTCCAGCCACATTAACCTTTCAGTCCTTCCTGTTCACCACACTCCTTCCTGCCACTGGGTTTAACACAGGCTATTCCGCCTACGTACAATGTGGATCCCTTGCCTTTTAATCTACTTAACTCCTACTCATCATCAAATATCACTTCTCCAGGGATGCATCCTTTACCTCCCTGACTGACAGCAATCTCATGGCACCACCCTTCATGGTATTGTCTGTGTGATTACTTGATTAATATCAGTCTTTCCCACTAAGCTCCCTGAGATCAAGATCTCTCTCTAATTTTGTTCACTGTTGTGTCCCCAGTACCTTGTAAGGTGTCTGGCCCACTGTAGGCGCTCAAATATTTGTTAAATGCATTAATGGTTTACTGTCTACATATGGTAATAGTGGATAAAGCTCTTGTAAAAGTGCCATTGTATAGTTGTCAAGGAGTGAATGACAATAGTAACAGTGAGGAAGTGGCTGTTGCTTAGGAAGGGCCAACACACAACAGGAGACCAGAGTATGTGTGGCTGCATGCACAGTACCCAGGACCAAGCACACCACTTGGAAGGGGAGCCCAATCCTTCAGCAGCCCCAACATCTACTTTAGCACCTAGAAAAATGCTCAAAAGGTCAGTGGTGCTTAGCTCTACTTTATTGGGTTTCATTTAAGTTTGCAGGTGTATTTCCAAAGAGTTCCTGTTAACAACTTCATGGTCAAGATATTGCAAGTTTGATGCCTATTATCCACCTCAATCCAGCTTTAAATTGAATTGGAAAAATAAAGAGAACAAATTTTCAGCTTTGATTGCAAACTAAAAAGATGATACAATTAACACAAATATCTTTGCCTCTTGAGAAACATTTGTGAATCAAAATTGGTACTGATGTTAACATATAGCATATTTTTTTAAATTATCCCTGATAGAAGAAAATTGTTTCAAATCATTCAAATATGTAAAATTATGGCTAACAAATGAAAAATATTTTTTCTGATGTAATTCCCTTTAGGGCAGTGGTTCCTAACCTTTTTGGTACCAGGGACCGGTGCTCCTATGAGAATCTAATCCTGATAATTTGAGGTGGAGCTGAGGTGGTGATGCTAGCACTGGGGAGCGGCTGCAAACACAAATGAAGCTCTGCTCCCTAGACCACTGCTCACCTCCTACTGTGTGGCCCGGTTCATAACAGGCCATGGACTGGTACTGGTCTGCGGCTCAGAAGTTGGAGAACCCTGCTTTAGGGGACCTGCTTTAGTTCAAAAAACTTTTCTGAACACCTAACAAGTGCTAAGTATTCTTAAGTATTTTAAGTAGCCCAAGATGGGAGAAATAAATATAAACTGCACAGCTTTGCTTTCAAGAGCCTCAGAAACTGATGGAGAAGATCTTGACAATAGAAAATAAAAATATCCATGTTGCAAGTACATGTTGTGCAAAGTGAAATGATGATGCATTCTTTATCCTATGAAGGAGGCAATCATGCAGAGTTTTTAAAAAATCAAGAGGAGCTTACCAAGAAGACCATAAAAGGTCAAAGATATCATAGAGTCCAGCTTCCTAATTTTACAAGTAAAAAAAGATGAGGCCCCCAAAGGTGATGATCTCTAGACAAGTGATGCCAAAGCTAGATCTTCAACCCAAATGTTCCTTTTAAGGATATGATATGACTAAGAATATGACATATCAAAAATATGACCAAGTTTTATTGTTCTTATTTGCTTTCTCAAAACCACTTTAGCCATTGGGGGCTGAAATATCAAGCAAACATTGATTTGTTCTTTATAAAGGAGCAAGATGCATATTCCTACTTTCCAACTCACTCATTTCTAATCTCCTCATATATCAGGTGAAACAACTTCCAAAAATGAAAATCCAATCATGTCATTCTTCCTTCCCAATACCCTTAGTATAACAACCTGAGTCCTTCATAAGCCTCAGCATGGTCAGGAACCTGGCCCTTAACTGGAGTCTTATCTTCCACCGCTATCGCCTTCTTTCTTCAGGGTCCAACCAACTGTGCTTCTTTTAGCTCTTTAGTCATGCCATGCTTTCTCCCACTTCAGGGCTTCGGCAAACACTGTTTCCTCTGCTTAGAATACTCTTCTTCCTTCTCCACCTACTGATTCATTAGGTTCAGATTAATTGCCATCACCTTGACCTGTAGATCGGGTTAGTCTTTCCCTGCACTCTGTCTGTGCACTGCCATTACTCTTTATTGAATTATCTGTTTAAAATCTATCTTCTGCACAAGACTCTAAGCCCCCAAGATTATAGGAACATGTCTCTACTGCATGCACTGATGCATCCCCACTCCCTACACAATACCTAGACTCAGGTAGGCCATGCTGTCACAGCAAATAAACCTCAAATCCTTGGAGTTTTACAGAACAAGAAGTTAACTTTTCTTTTTCATGTGACAGTCCAGAGTGGGGCTTTCCGGTCAATGGCAGTTTTACTCCATATGACCACATAGGGACACAGGCTGATGTGGTTTGTGACTTCAATGTGTGGCTTCCAAAATATCCCTGATAATTTCTATGTTAATCAGCTGGAACTGAGAAAGATGGTGAAAGATCTTGCATGGAATGTGATTGCTTCTCTTCTACTCATTTTCCGTTAGGGGGAATTCAGTAACATGATCACATGAATAAACAAAAGACTAGGAAATTTGGGCCAACCATTGTCAAGCACTTCTTTACGAAGTGTCAAGGGGAGAAATAATTCTAAAAGACAGATGACTGCTCCACTAGAATGCTCAGTGAATATTTATTTAAAATAATTAATTGTTAAGCCATTGTATTGTTCTACTTTAGATGCTGATATTAATACCCAAACTCCCAGAATCATTTTTTTTTTCATTTTGTTGGCAGCATTTCAATATCCAAACAACTGGCTTCAATAAAAGGTAAGGTGCGGGGGTGACTGAGATGTATGAGTTTCTTCTCTAACATGACAGCATGGCAAGAGTTAAAAATAACAGAACATTAAAGACTGTTAAAGATGTAAGGAAACTGGTGGATAAACCATCAAGCATTCATGATTTTTTTTTAAGATGTGGGTACTGAGGTCTAGTGATAGGAATTAGCATACCCAAACTTATACGGCTCACTAAAGGCCAAGTTATGATGAGAGCATGGATCCCCTGACTCCTAACTCGGTATTCTTCCCATGGGGCACTGTTGTCTCTCCATGGACAGCATCCTTAGTACATCCAGAGTAAGGCCATCAGCATCAGACTCACGAACGCTCAGTGGAACTCAGGATGCCATCAACCTCCTACTGCCTCTGCTGATTGAATGAAAACAGTGTGGCCAAATCCCAAAGTGTAAATATTTGCCCTCAGAATTCTATTTTTGTAAATAAAATATCTTTAGAGCTAACACTATTGCTATGGAAATAATATATAAGAAAAAAACACCCATGTACTTGGATCATTATCCTATTCTAAAATATGTTACTTAAAATGTTTACAGACTAACAGGCATAGCTGGATATTACTACACTGAAGTTGTCTTTCCTCCTAGATGGCGGGCCAATGTCGCCAAAGGAGACTTTTCATATTTTTATTTAACTAAATCTTCATTGATGAAAATATTATTTTTACACTATTACAACACAAGAGATACATAATCTCTGTTTTACAATTTATACAATGTCGAGTACTTTTGATAATTTCCATGACTCCATCATATCCATGATATGATAAATATCCATGACATTTCTAATACTTCCTCCCTTTGGGAGGTTGAGGAGGGGTTGTAACTCGAGGTGGTGATCCGCCTCTGAACACGCGCATGCGCGCGCGCACACATACACACACACACACACACACACAGACACACACACATACCCCATTTCTAATATCAGACTCTTTACACTGGATCATTGTGTCAGTTTTAGCCCCATGCCTTAAGAAAACACAGGATAACCATGGCTCATCTTCCCAGAATGTGTTTTATTCAATGGTAAGGAGCTTTAAATGTTATTCATTGAAATCAGACATGGATAGATAATGGAATAGAAGCCAATATGAAACCACATCTTTTTCTGGCTACTTAGGCTTATCCCCTTGATCTTTTGGAGGGTATGAGTGGAGGATGAGTACATATTTGCCTCTAGCATCCAAAGTAATTTTATAGTGGAAAAGTCTGAGAAGTACTAGAGTATTGGGAAAACTATTGATCTAGCAAGAAAAGAGCAGAGACCTGGTTTTTAGTTGTCATATACTAGCAATGTGAACTAAGACAAAACCACTTTTTCCTAGATTCATTTCTTCATTTTCAAAAATAACTAACATTAGGAAAAGTTCTAAAATGAGGTGATTCTGACACGTTTGTGTTTCTATTAAACTAAAGTGTCAGGAGCTCACCAGATCAAACATCTAATGTTTAGTGTTTCATGTTCCAGAGCATCTGAAAAGAAAGAGGAAGAGAATTGTTCTGAAGTTTAAGTCAGCTCAGTTCAGCTAACATATACTGAGGTCTATAACATGCCAGGGCCTGGGAATGAATGCAAAGATACATAAGAAGCAGTAACTGTTTTCAGAGAACATGCAGTTTAGAACTATGCTGTCCAATATGGTAGCTACTAGCCACATGTAAATACTGAACACTTAAAATGTGGTTGGTTTGAACTGGTATGTACTGTAAGTATAAAATATATGTCATATTTAAGAGACTTAGCAGAAAGAACTGTAATACATGTCAACAATTTGTTCATATTGATCACGTTAAAATATTTTTTTGACATATTGGGTTAAATAAAATTTATTATTTAAAAATTGTATCTGTTTCTTTTAACTTTTTAATGTGGCTGCTAGAAAATTTTAAATTATCATGGTTCACATTACATTTCTTTTGGACAGCACTGATCTAGAAGGTAATTATGACATAAACAGAGTGTTGCAGTGTTGCAGTGTGAGGTAAGTTATGATAAGTTTATGTATAGGGAAGTGTAGAAAAACAAAGGTAGGACATGTAGCCCAATCTCAGGGTTTAGGAAAGAGTCTTACAGAAGACGGGGCCTGAAAAACAACATCTAGTGGCAATACGCATCGTGGTGAGAAACCAGACTAGCTGTGTGACCTTGAGCAAGCTGCTTGACCTCTCTGTGCCTCAGTTTTCTCTTCCATAAAGAGGGGATGATACTGGAACCTACCTCCGAGGGCCAATATAAGAATTAAATGAGTTGAGTCATGCCCACCCACAGAAGAGTGGCATATGGAGTGTGAGCTCCATAATTGTTCATTGCTACCGTCTGCCAGAACGCAAGCTCCAGGAAATCAAGGGTTATTTTCTTGATACTACTCACTGCTCTATCTCCACAACTAGGGTGAGAGCCTGGTGATAAGTACTTGCCAATAAATACTTGTTGGGAGAAGAGTGTTTAAGAAACTACACACAGTTCGATATAATTAAAGTGTAAAAAATATGAGGCAGGGAACAGCAGGAGAGATGAACATGAAGGGCCCTGTTTCAGTGCCCTCTCCACACACCCATTCCAGAGGCAAGAGAGCCAAAAAATGTTGCCAAAAGGGAAACATCAATCCTTTGCATTTTTAATAGCACTTAGCCCTTTACAATATGCTTTCACATATTCACTCACAACTCTGTGAAGCAGACAGGGTAGGAGTTAGGCAGCAACATACTGAGTTTATTAAGTGAAGAGCTCAGCCATAAAAGCAGGAAACCAAAACACCTCACAAAGTATCATCAATGTTGTTAGGTTAACCAGAGCTCCTTGTTAACTTTTATTTTTAATATTTTATAGTTCTTTTTTTACCATGAGCATGTGCTATTTTACAGTCAGGGAAAAAATCCACAGTGTGTTTAAAAGAATGGTGGAGAAGGAAGAGAAGCTGGCCAGTCCAGATAGAGTCCCCGTCTAGAGTGTAGTCAGATCTGAACTTCATCAGAGGATCAGAAAATGTCTGGGCTCCAGAGCCTCCGTGGGGATGCCCTTACGAGGGGATATTCCAAAGTGGCAGATATTCTTATGGTCTTTGAAGTCATACAAACTTTGAAGTATTATCTCTGCCACTTCTGAGTAATTCTTAATCTCTCCATGTGTCAGTTTCCAATATGTAAAATTGAGACACAAATTATACCAACCTCTCTGGGTTTTATTAAGCATTAAATATGATTATGTTCGAAAGGCACCTGGCATATAGTAAACAAGGAAAGTGTCTGCCATTATTTGCAAGTTCAGAGATTGGATTAAACATGCCAGCATGAGAGACATTCCCAGATCTCTCCACTAGAAACAAAAATAAGCTGCACACCTAAAACTCAGCAAAAAACATCAAACTCCACACCAGCATGTCTGAGTGTGAGATCTGTGCATAAGAGCTACCACACATCAGAACCCCAGATGTTGGGCGCTGGACTAGGAGAAACAAAGAAGCTGCCTCTCGCAGCCAGAGCTCCCTGTAGGGGGAGGAGGAGAGAAGAAAGAGTGGTGACTTCTCTGAACAGCCCTGCCTAAGAGCGCTGTGAGCTCCACGCGGCTGGCGGCAGTGACAAATCATCAGTGCAGAAGGCACTGAAACAGGGACGGCAGAAAAGCATGGACAGCAGAAAAACAACAGTTGATTTTTACCAGTCATGGTTGCAAAATTGAGACTGAGCTGCAGCCTCCAACTCCCAACTGAGAGGGCAACTCCCTCCATACCTTCCAAGACAGAATGCCATAGAGCCCCAGGGGAAGCTGAGCAAATGCTACTGAAACTGTCACTAACACTGACAGGAACTGAGACTGAGGGTAGCAAGCATGATTAAACATCTATAAGGAAAAAAAAGACATTATTAACACTTTATATAAAGCAGAGATTCAAGAAGCTAGAGGCCACCTACTGGAAATCAAAAGAAAGACACCTTATTTGCAACAGGGTAGAGACCATTATATAATAATCTTCCTTCTGGAAGAAAAAAAAAATTCTGAAGCGGTCAGCTCACCTAAAACAAAATAACAACAACAACAAAAATGCATAAGTAGGAGTAAGGTGACTAGCAGGCTGATAAAAGCAGAGGAGTGTAACCCTTACTACGAACAGGGCCTTATAAGCTTAAAATAAGAAGAGCTTTGTTATAGCAAGATAGTAATGAATGTTTAGCATACAGAGGGACAAAGTGAGACAACAATGACTGAAAAGGGGAGGATTCAAAGATCCAAATTCACAAAGAGGAATGGAGATAAGGCACGCACAGAAGAAAAAGAATGATTGTATATATACAACTATCCTTTTCATATTCATAATGGTAACCACAGGACAAAGATTTAGAACCAAAGTATATAACATAAAACAAGAAGGACTAGAGAGAAAACGCACAAAAACAACCAAAATAAAGAAAACAGAAACACAAGAACAAGGAAGCAATGGAAACACCGAGCTACCAGAAAGCAAAAGATAAAATGGCTATAAGAAGACCTCATATTTCAATAATCACCCTAAATGTAAATGGATTGAATTCACCAATAAAAAGGCAGAGAGTTGCAGAATGGATCAAAAGACAAAACCCAACCATGTGCTGCCTCCAGGAGACACATCTCAGTTCCAGAGACAAATATAGCCTCAAAGTGAAAGGGTGGAAAATGGTATTTCAAGCAAAAGGCTTTCAGAGAAAAGCGGAAGTAGTAGTACTAATATCGGATGAAATAGACTTCAAAATAAAAAAGGTAAAGAAAGATACTGAGAGACATTTCATAATGATAAAGGGAATCATGCACCAAGAAGACATAACACTATTAATATCTATGCTCCCAATCAGGAGCATAGAAATGTGTAAAGCTATTGCTAACAGAACTAAAGAGAGAAACAGACAAAAACACTATCGTAGTAGGGGACCTATATACCCCACTGCTGGATATGGACAGATCATCCAAATAAAAAATCAATAAGGAAATAAC